CTTGCCTGCCCTGTCTGTGGCCCCAAGTCACAGACAGGGCAGTGGCAGACAGAGACAGGGTTGTTGTTGCAGATGTAACCCTTTCAAAGCCACTTATAGACATGTAATTTGATTTTAGTTATAGCACACTGGTCGACAGGTACTATTAGAGTAGTCATCGGGAAACTCATAAAATCTCATGTGAAACTGCAAAAAAATGCTAATTTGTTGTTGGAATGTTGGAAAGACGCGAACAACACAAACTGGAAACTCTGCAGAGAGAGCTGGAGGTCAATGAACTTCTTCAGAGTGAGGTGAACTTCTGCTGATTTGTGGCTCTGACCTGACGCCTGAGGAATTTGATTATAAATTAGCCCTCACTCACATCCCACTCACAGTATTTACCCTTCACTGGCTGCGGTAGTTTTCAAATGTTTCTCCAGCTCTGTCAACAGTATGTCAACAGTTTGGATTCAACGATTAGTAAGCTATTTAACACGAAACATTGTATGACTTTAATCTCCCAAATGTCAACACTAACTGCTGTATGATGCATCATGATACCAAATCAATATAAATAATTATAATCTGATCTAGAATCATAATGTGTCCTTGTCCTCAGGAAACAAACCACTAAATATCATGTTATTTAAAGAAAATGAATCCTTATCATGTTTTGTTCATGTTTAGTTTCAAAATCTTTATAGCCAATCTGCTTTCATGTTTTTAGATTGAAACTTCATGTTGTCATGTGGGCTACTTGTGAAATCAGTAGTTTGTGCTCGTCTTTTATCTCATTTACAGACTCTTATCTGCTGGTGTTAATTTGTTGTGCAGATACTCACCTTCCATGAACACATCTATGTGACATGTTATTTAAGGTTAAGTCAACACTGGATTTATTAAAATCAGAGTCCTGCCTACCATAGCGTTTTTTGTCTGATTTGTTAAATGAAATCAAAAATGTGCCACTGAGTGCAAAGCTCTTTTATTATCAGTGCCAAGATGCAATAATGATCCCACATTAAAACTACCAAACCAGGTGGAAAGACATTCAGTTTGTTTGGCCAAGTGAGAAAAGGGCCTTTAATGCTCAGATGGCAGCTTTACAGCAACCAAAAATTCAACTACCAAATCATTGTTTGATGGAGATTTTTAAAGTGTAACAGAGCCGGCTACAGGACATGAACCCAGACTGAAAGGGTTTATGGGAAAAAAACAGACAGATGTTGACATCTGAGAGCCAACAGTTCCATGTGTTTGGAAAGCAGAGCAGAACAAAATTACTTTTTGCCTGATGGTTGTGTTCAACTGTTTATTCATGTGCATGAACACCAGAGAAGGTCAATTATAGTGAAGAGTGCCAACAAGTCTGGCAAGCTTTTTCAAACGTAAAGGTGACCTGCCATCCTACCAGGGAACAAACCACTCTTTACAAGCTCTGGTTCACTTCAATACACAGTGTGTAAATTGTGTTTTGCATTGTTGATCTGAGAGTAGGTCCACATTAGACAGACGCCACTGAGCGTGCTTGGGTTAACAGCACTTTGTCAGTTTGATGAGCTGCGAGGAATAAACTACAATCTCTATGTGGACCGCAATTCGATAAAAATTATATTTTTTGCATGTAAAAATCAACTACCTGTATGTGAATATATTTGAAAGGATGTGCTACAATCAAATAATTAATCAAGCGCCAGTAACTGATCTTGGATTTCATTGCTACTTTCCCACTCAGGTGGCTTTTGTGTGTATGTGTTTGTTTTTTTAATGAAGTTGTCTCTTCTGATCCAAGTGGACTGATCTTTTTGTCAGTCGTTGTGGGGATGGAGAGAGGGCTGACATGCTAAAAGAGCCTCTGTTTTGACAGAAATTTCAGTTTTTGCGTTTTCAAAGGGAGAAGAGGTAAGTGGCAGAATGATACAAATTGTCTCTACAGCAAAAGAAACAAGAGGAGGGTGCTGCGATGTCAAGGTGTCTCCATCGTACTGAGTCTCCTCTTTTCAATACAGAAACATATCCTCCTCAGTTAGATTTTTGCTAATAAATATACTTAATGAGAGGTGGATGAACGCATATATACAGTGACTTTCTCATGATTTCTTGACGAAGAATGTCTATGACCTAAAATAAAGGTTTATATCACACTTTGGCTACACAGACAATTGTTATTAGGTTGAATTCATTGTTGGTATTCGCTTCTGGTAAAAAGATAAAATAACACCAGCCTTATACTTTAAACCGCCACAAAAAGGTTTTCAACCTTTGCTTTAAAAACTCAAATATTAACTTAAGAAAATATAATATTTTACTTGATTCATATCAAAGAAAACAAGCTTTATACACACACACACACACACACACACACACACACACACACACACACACACACACACACACACACACACACACACACGCACAGAGAGCATCAGCCTGGTATTTGTTGATTTGATTTTCACCTCCAGTCTTACACCAAATCCCTCTTTTCTCAGGAAACATAAGGAACTTACGAACAACTAGCCGGTTTTTAGTGAGTAAGAGAGGGTTTAATTTAGTGCACCAGGTGTGTCTCTGTTTGCTAAGCAGCCTTTTTGCAGCAGGTTTTTCAAACGTACATCTCTAAGCCTGACAGTTGAACTTGACAGCAGAGTTGCTGCTTTAACACACACTGAAGAAACTGAGGTGCTTAATTCTTTGAGTTGATTTTCTTCCTCCCAGCTGAGTTCAATGTTTTTGCACTTTGGCTATTCACTGACTTCTGCGTCTCAAATTTAGACATGTGTCATTTCTCTCTAGAGCTGTGTTGTGTTGTGTGTTATGTTGAGGAGTGTTAGTCTCTAGAAAGGAATCTAAAAATGCATGTACGAAATCATGTGTTTGTCTTGTGTCTGTGTAGGACGTATGTGTTTGTGTGCGTGAAAAGTTTTCTGCTAATTATAGATGGGTGTTGGAAGACTGTGTTTGCATATAATCTGTGTGAGATGTAGGTTTGTGTTTAGGTTATATAAAGAACTAATTGGTTTGGTATAGAGTAGGCGTGCGTGCATGCATGCTTGTACAAAGTGTCTTGTGTGAATACTGGATCATTACGCTTATGCAGTATATAAGCCCGTGTCTGTTATATGGTGCATTGCAACGTGTGGGAAGATTGTTGGCATCGGGGTGAAGCTCGCTCGGGTAGAAGGACTTCCGCTCCACCATGCGTCGGCTCAATCGCATTACTCAAGCAACAAATGTTTGCGTCTGGATGAGACTTTTCATTTCTGATTGACTCGAAGGTGAAAGATGGTGCAGTTGGAGGGAGAACGGTGTATCAATCATAGGCACATTTTCATCAGAGCAGCAGAAAATCAATAATTGTCAGATTGGGTTTCTTGTTAGTTTGGAGGAGTGGTTCAAAAGGCGGATACAGAGGATTTGGGTTGCGCAGCAGCAAGTTCAGAATGGCAGAACTTGCACAGTAAAACATTTTTAAAGGATTTATTTGGCATGATTGAGCTTTTATTTCCTTTTTTTTGCTCATGTTCCTCTGTTTAAATTAACTTAGATTTTTATTAGATTTAAGTTATTGAGTACAATGTAGTTGCACAGATGTGGTAAAAAGGGCAACTCATCCATATTGTAAATAAAATCCACTATGTTCTTGAATTAGATGGTAAAACCAAGTAGTAAAAAGGGTTTTTTAAACCACACCATGTATTCCTTTTATTACGTGCCAAAGTCTAGGGGTATCCAGGATTAAACATAAATGTGTGGCTTAACACTCTTCCCGTTCCCAAGCAATGCCAGAACAAAGGAAAAACAATTTAGCGGCTTTTATTAGCTTCAGAGATGAGCAGTGCCCAAAACAACAACCAAAACAGAAAACCTAAAACTTTCCTAAACCAAAAAGTAAAGAAAAGACAAAGCTCTAAACTAGGCTTCTAATCTCAAAAACAGGAGAAAAGGGGAGCAAACAAAAAAGGGCTTCTCACTCCTACTAACTGCTTGTAGTTGACACAACAAAGCTACAACAAAGAAGAGAGAGAAGGGAGTTCCTGTCAGCGGGGCTTACAATGGCTGCTGTCATCCCGGTGACCAATCAGGAGGTAGCAATCAGCTCTGCAGGACCAATCCAGTGTGTCCACCTGTTCTCCATTACCTGCATACACACACACACTCTAAGGGAGGAGACAGCTGACAGTGCAGGGTGAGATAAACAAACAACAATATATGACCCCAGGATCATAACACTTTTTTGAATTTGCACACCTTGTCCTTATTTTTCCCTCAAAAATCCTCCCACACTGCTTTTGACGATAACATTTCATTTTCAGTGTATTTTACTTATTCCCATAGAAAGCAGGCCAAAATATAGATGTCTTGTGAATATGTTTCCCATGCAATGTGGAGGTTTCAACATCAGAAATTGTGTCCACAAAAGTGTAAGTAAATGACAGGTTTTTGTGGATCAACACTTCCCTCTAGACTATTTTTCTCTGACATTTAACAATCAATCATACAGTTAGACATTCATTGCAAGGTACCAATTTCACCAGCAGTAGCCTCAGTAGGCTCAAATACAATGCAGCTACAGAAAGTGCTATGTACTGTATGACGAGAGGGGCCCTGATCTAGAAATGTACAAGCAGAGGAGGCAGCTTGAGGACACAAAAGAAAATTACAACTTTTCATCACAAACTGACTTGTGGAACTGCTGAATGCCACAAAATTGTAAGAAGCAATATACAACCTCATAACAAGCTCCAAGGGTGAATTTTCCCTTCTGGTCCAGCCACCACTGTGTCCCAACAACAAATGTGAGATGCAGACACTGACTTCAACCAGACGCAAAAAAATTACATTTTGCAATGGTGCACTTACCTCCCCATCTCCAAACAGTCCTCATCAACAAACCAATTTTGGAAAGACTCAATGAAGTGCTTTTGTTAGAAATCAACAATCAGGGAAATGGATTAATGCAAATTTACTGATGTGTCTCTTGTGTCTTTCTGTGTGTGTCTTTGTTTCTTACTCCTCAGAAGTGGGTTTGAACAGGATGTAGAGAACGGTTACCATCAGCACCCAGATACCTGCCACGGTGAGTTGGAAACATTTATTTATTCTCGGAGATTTTACATAAGCGTTAAAGAAAGAGAGACAAAACACCTATTGACAGAGCGACAGCAGGCACAGGTGATTTGGATCTAATGAATTATAATGCTATAATTACAATGTATTTATTTCAACAAGGGCAGCAATTCAATTCATGTTGAAGGAGCTTGAAGAGTAGTTTGTCCACCCCCATTCTCAATCCCTGCTGAAATGCTGTTCTCAATCTTTCAATGTTAATTAAGCATTTGCTCATAGAAGTGTTTTTATGTAAGACAAAGTGGGTTGTTATAGCTCTTTTGCATTTGTCTGGGATGTGCTCAGAACCACAAACAGGACAAATTCAACAATAGATGTTTCCCATTAGAAATGAATTAAGTGTAGCCCAGAAACCAGGAATCTTGACAAATCATAACCACAGACACTGTTTTTCTTTCTCCAGATGTCCTGGCAACCACTCGCAAGCAAAACACGGCACTAGATTCAGCATATGGTCAGTGGACATGTCTTTTATCTTTTCATTTAACTGCCTCAGCTGATCGAGCTGGTTACAGAGTAGAAGCTAGCAAACTGAACTCCGTAGGCAGTCTTACACTCAAGTAGGATTTTAAGCAAACTAGTTTTTAAAGAAGTTAACTTATAGCCAAAGAGGTTGTGGTTAAATTCTTGCAACAGCTGGTTTGTGTTTCGTCAACAGCCAATGATTTAGAGTTGATGAGTGTTTTTTTTTTTTTTTTTTGCAGTCTGGGTCTTGTTTTATCAGTTTTGGCCATCGTATGGTAAATGGTCTGTATCTGTAGTCTGTCTAGTCTGTCCGACCACTTAAAGCACTATACACTATATTAGAGTCACCCTGTTCACACACACTGATGAGCCGTTTACCACGGACAGACTGGGTAAAAGTTTTACAACCTATCTGATCATCTGCTTGTATTCCTGCCCTTGTTTCTGTTTTGATGTTTGAAGTTGGTGATTAAATGTTACATTAAAAGTTATGGCCAAAAACTATGAAAATAAGACCCATAATGTTAAATAATGTAAATACACTTGAACAACATAATGAACCTTGACTTATCTCGGAATCTATTGTCTTACGGCGATTTAGCCTCTGAAGGCATCATTCAATGTTTTGGGGCCTCCGGTGGAGCCAGGGCACATTCGGATAACAGATATCAGGGCCAAGACTACTACTTCTGTGCGCTGGACATTGTTTACAGTCAGATTAGCAATCTCACAAGCTATCACCATCATGTGAAGAAGATTTGAATGCATGTACATTGGCAAAGCTAATATCTAGGGTTTTCAGATTGATGAAAAGGTAAATTGTTCAGAGATTGCTTTCCCACCAATGCGTTCTGCCTCTTTTGCTCTCCAGATGGACTCTTTACCTGCATGTAACCAAAGCCCACTCAAACCTGTGTGATCAATACTACTCTGACTACAAACAGAGATCAGAATGCCTTTGATACCAAAATCTTGTCCCTTGCCTACAGGTTCTGCATTCATATATATCATCACATCTGTTTATAAAGATTGAACCTCAACCTGCTCACTCAGTGTTACTTTTTCTGGGGAAGAGGATCAGATTTATTCAGTTATATGCATACAAAGTAAATGTTTCTGCACTTTACAGATTGGGAGGTTACAGGGTATATTATTGAGGCAGCTGAATGGTTGTGGCCACCTCTCCTTCTCAGCCAGTCTGACAGCTTAAACATTGAAGCCATTGTCTGAAGCTTCACTCCTTTGATGGACCAGCAGCTCCGCTGTCTAGGCTGCCTAATGCCCTGTATCAAGAAGGATCATCATCCCTGTCACGTCCCATTACTCTCCCGCTGGCCACACCGCGCAGCCCCTGGCATGGCCGGAATAGAAATAGAAATGCCGCCAAGCTGGCTAGCTCTCGGATAAGATCGAGGAGGTGGTGTTCAATTTTCTAACACTGCAACATTCAAAAGCAATCATTTTTAATCAGATAATTTTCAATCAGCTGTTGGCCAGCCTCATTTGCTTTTATCTTCACAACTAAAGCACCAGCCTGAACTTTGAGGAGTTCTTAAGACTTGCTCAAAGTCAGATCCTTTTGTCACTAGACAAATTGGGACACAGGGGAGCTAATGGCAGTGGTTGATCCAACACAGTGATTAGCATCGTCATTGAGCCCATCATGTTTGAAATTTTCGGCCATTACGTCTCAGCAGAACCATCCATCCTGCATTTCCCTCAGTCTCTTTCTCAGAACAGAGGCCACTTTGTCTGCCAGAGGCTTCCGCTCGGACCTCCACAGTGCCTCAGTAGTCTGTAAAGCATCCCTGCTGAAGGAATTACCACTCGGTCGGTAGCAAGACTTGATGAGCAACCCTCCTGCTTAATCCTACGGGGCTCTCACCACCTTGATGCTTCACTGCACTGTTTGAAGTTCTCCACACGCAGTCAGATTCTGTCTCTCTTGTTTTTTGGTGTTTATTTTTTTTTCTAGCTGATTCAAACAAAAGCCTTTTAAGTCTCTGCACTGAAGATCAATTATCAGCTTTCCTAGACAATAACACGCCCCATATGCCGAACAAAGCTGTTGTCACACAGGGGCTCCATTCCCTCTTCGAAAGCACACCAAAGGCAGGGACATTTCTTTCTTCCTCTTCCCTGTCACCCAAACAATCACAGCCAGCAGAGGGAAGGGCGTGAGACAAAAGCCTGGCTGTGTAGGTAATCAAATGTTCCTCTGTGCATTTTTTAGTACTTTAACAGTAAAACAGGACAAACAATATGATCCAACGTGCACACTCAGAAAAACACAATCATTATAAATTGAAGTAATGATGAAGTACTGGAGCTATTGTCCGAGGTGTCGGGGCCAAACACCCACTGGTGTACAGTTTTAATTTGCCTGGCACAGATGGCAAACTGACGGGGCACCTTCATTCAGAGGGAACGCTGTCAACTGGCTCCCTTTTCCATCAGTCTGAGTGTGAGTTCTGCACAATGCTAACATTATGGCTGGCTTATTAGTGCAGGTGCTCAAGCCAGTAGCCACATGCTGATCCCCAGACCTCAAGGACAACAGAGAGCTAATAATGCAGTCAAGATGAGTGTGTCATAAAGATAAATATGTTTGATAATGCAAGGCCTGTAGCAGCTAATGCCCAGCATGTTTCTTGGCATATGTTTTGAAATGATTCCAAATGTGGCCGTCATAATGTTTGCTGGTACGCCTCAAGGTGACAGAGTTCCTGTGAAACAGCTCGGCTCGGGTGAGGTAGTGGAAAAGAGCTGTGGTGAAAAAAACCTATCCAGCCACCTGTGTCTATTTCAACTTATCTGTGAAAACACTTAGCAGAATGGATGCAGAGGAGTTTTATCTGTGGTCGGAGTTCAAGTCCATGTTAAAAAAAAGGGGGGGGGGGGGGGATGTTTCTGTAAAATAAGCTGGAGAGCCAGGATTAAATGATTACTGAGTGGTTTAGTAACAAAAGAGGGTGGAGTTCAACAAAGTGAAAAGTGAAAGCCTGTCATTCTCTGAAATTATGATGGTATATTGACCCAGGAGCTAAACATTATAAGTGCCTGAAACTTTTGTTGCAGCTTGTAAAAATTCCAAAGCCATTCAAGAATGTTAATATACTTTATTATTAGTGTAGTGTCAACTTTTCCAGGCTGAAGCTCATCTGACAAACTGTCAGATAACTGTGTTAGGACATTTCAAAGGTCCAGTGTGTAATAATTCGCAGGGTCTGTTGACAGGAATTCAATATAATATACTATTACTGTTATAACTGTTTTCAGTGGTGTGACCTTGCATAATGAGCCGTTACATACACCACGGGACCCTGACATGGAAGTTGCCATGTTGCACCGCCATGTTTCTACAGTAGCCCAAACTGACAAACCGCTCGACAGTTTTGCCACTACATTGAATACGTACAAAGGAGTAGAAGTAGTTGTTGTCTGGCTGATTTGAAGTAAGAACCGAAGTGAAATTTGCACAAATGGAGGACCACACATATTATTTAGCACAATAGCTGACAGAGCGTGTCGGCCGCCGTAGCTTCTCCTACACGCTTACAAAGAGAGAGGTGAGCGGTAAGTGGGTTGTTGGTTGCAATTCGCAATCCCTCACCACCAGATGACACTTAAACTTACACACTGAACCTTTAAAGAGTCACTAAATGTGCAGTGAGATATATTTTAAAGGATATGAGTTATGAATACCAGAACTACAAGACATATTATGGAAAACTGTGGATATGTCACTGCAAATGTTGGAATGCCAAAATCACCTGGAGAGACTGAATGTGGGTATTAAACGGCTTGTAAAGTAAACTGCAGCACTTGACATCATCTTGTATCTGTGGGGAAGTGAACTGATGGATGAATTAAATTCTGCTGTGTGTGCTCATCATGTTGCTCACTATCATCACTGGGTCTTTATGTTAACGGCAGTTTTCCTTCCACTCAAGACTCACCCTGTCTCTGAAGTTGATTGTCCAGGCTGATTCACATTTCACTAATCACTCACTCTGTTACCTCCCCCTCCTCCTCCCCCCTTCGTTACAACCACAGGGAAGACCACACCCACAAGCGCCAGCACTACCTATCATGCGGCGGCATTCCCAAAGGAGGCAGGTGACCCTGAAAGAGGTACAGGTCCTGATGGCCCTCCCCCTGTGGGGGAACAAGGGTCACCTGACTCGGAGCCAATCAGTGTGGAGATGGAGGGTAAGGGGGAGGGATGTCTGTCCTCAGTGAATCTGCGGGGGATTACACTGCTGGGCCCCGAACGCCTCTTACGTACACTTCTAACCAGACTGACCACTAACAAAAAATTGTTTCACTCTGGTTTAACAGTATCTCATTTTCAACAGGCATGCCTGCATCAGTATAATCATGCGACCTGCGTTTCCATAGTAATGGTACTCATTTCAAACAGCTAATGTAAAATTACACAAATTCAAATCACCTCTTTTATTTTATATTCTCCAACTATGGTTGTAGATTTCAAAAAATACATTCTCTTTGCAATTTCTGATGATTACTGAGATAGTCGCTGAGATGAGTCCTGACCAGTAAAAGCAGAAAGCCGTTCCTTGTGAAGGCTGACCATTCAAGAAGTCATATGATGTTATGCATGCTAATGCTAATGATATGTTAAAGTGTTCTTCCAGGGTGAAATATCACTTTCATTAGCTCACTAACTCTTAACTCACTAGTCAAACCAATCTCTTAGTGAAAGGCAGAAAGTGTTGCTAATCAATGTTTTTTTTTCCGTACCCTTAGTCTCAGCGTTACATGATGTTGATGATTAGAAGGAAGGGTGCTGAATGATAAGTGTTGAATTTCTTTGAATAAGACGCCGTACATTATCTCTGAAGAGAGAGAAACATGGTTCGGACAGGGCCTGAAGAATATTAGAGAAGGATCTTTTTTGTCCCTTTATGTTCAGCCATACGTTTCTCAGCACAGCAGCCATGCCTGTCAAAGATTTAATTACTTGAAATAAATACTGCATTGGCTCTAATTAACTCCTCAAATCATGTAGAGAACCTGAGCCTAAACAACACTGCTCCCACATGGCCTCTCCTCATCTTTTATTTAGCTCGTCAACACACACAAATATTCCCTCAGTGTTTTCCAACAAACTGAAAAAATCAAAGCACAAGCCAGGTAGCAACTCTCGCTCTATCTGACCGTTCATTTACATATAATTTCCATTCCCATTTGAGAGAACGCAGCAAAGTCAAAAGTGTAGAGATCCAAAGTCCTGACGTCAACTTCCAGACAAACTGCTGTTCTATTAGCTTCTATAACTTAACAGAGTCTCTCAGTGAGGCTTTCTTTGATCTGTCTCTGACAAAGTGAAATGCTGGTTATGTCCATTTATAAGTAAAATGAGTATCTACTGCTGTACTTGAAATTAAAATCAGAATTCTGAATAACACTTATACTCAAAAAAGGGAATGGGTTCTCCACCAAAAAACCAAGGCACACTGCTTTATTACAGTACAAAGTAAAGTACAAAAAAAGTGGAGGGCTTAATCATTGCGACTACATGATGTGAAGACAAACTATCGCCTGCACAGCAGTCTTCAAACACTATAAGCACAAGATTTAATCACACGTGAGAACTTGTGCAGCAACATTTGGCTCCCTCATTGGGGGCACCCTCCCTCATGTTTAGTCAAGGCCACTAAAAACAATGTACATCAAAGAATCAACAAGCTAAAATGTTAGGTATCAATTTACTATGTGTCCTCATGTATGGATTACTTTGTCAATGTATTTTTTGGTCTGTTAAATAAACATAACAGAATAGTGAAAAATGTCTATCGAGGAACCCAAGATGACATCTTTAAATTGCCAACCAACAGTCTGAAAGAAAAGCAGCAAATCTTATCATTTCCAAAGCTGGAGCCATCCACATTTTGGCATTTTGTCTTGAAGAAATTACTTAAACGATTAATTGACTAATCATTGTAGCTCTAGGGGTTATATTGTTGGGCTAGATGCTCATAATTTGTGTAATTACAGATGTCAAAGTCATTTTGAATGTGGTTTCCTTACTTCTGGAACTAAAACTACTGTTTTTACTTTACTTTCTATTCACACATTGGTAAAGGCTTCAAACCCTGTAATCTTGCAGTAACAGCGCAGACAATTACGCCACACCATCCAGCTACCTCAATAAATGACATGACCTATAAAACTCCAACCAGTTCTTGAATATTTAATTACATCTTGATCTTTATATGGTTGAGTCTCATTATTTCTTAAATTTTTAATTTGACAGTTCGCACTCATACTGATTAACATTACGCTCTTTCAAAAGTAGGTAATGCAAGTCAGAGAGCTCCATAACTATGATGGGAAGTGCAGCATAACATCTCTCTGACCCTCAAATGATCAGAGACTAGAGCTGTAAAAAGAGAGGGAAAGCTTTGGGTTTGTCCCCTTCAAAACACTGGAGCGTTTTCCTGCAAGTTTATGAGGAGGATTCAGTTCATTTGGATGTGATTCAGGGAGGACGAGGCAGCATGAAGCAGTTTTTGTCCTTTTCTTGCTGGTTGCTTGCACAGGCACCATGTCAGAAGTCCATAAATCCTCAGCAAGTGAAAGAAGCTTCCATTCACGCAGACAGACTCTCCAGCTGCAATGATGAGCTACTCGGGCCCAAATGAGAAAAGCCCATAACAAATAAATAACCAGCAGAGGCCTGAGCCAGGGAGTCGGACAACAAGGGGGAGGGGAGGAGGCGTAGGAAGTAATAGAAACAGCAACGCAATCTATTTCAGCCAGAGACTGTGATGCTGCTGGTTCAATCCGAAGCGCTGGGCGAGCGGGTTGATAAAGAAGCAGAGGAGCTGGTGTCGAAGTAACAGCATCACAGTTCCAAGAAGGCCTCCAATCTCTTACTTCCTGTCCATTTCTCACCACATATCTGCTTTTCTGTCTGTACCTTCTGTAGAGGCTCTGCAGATGTGTCACAAATCTCCCAGGAGCCTGAAGGTGGGCCAGTAGACAACTGAACGTAGATAGGCTGTTCTATATTTGGCCGCTATCAAGAGTGACAAAGGTACCTAAACACAAGTTACGAAACCGATACATGTGTATATTGGTCACTGTTACAAAGAAAATTGTCTCGTCTTTACTCCTAGCCCTACTAAGTTGCTCCAACAAAGAGTTAGCCCGTCTAAGTTATGTGTTATCGTAAAAATACAACCGCTATCCTCTAAAAAGACCAGGGGCCTCATGTATAAAAGACTGCGCAGCTTTCATACTGTCCCAAATCGCTATTTTGAAACATTTGGTGAGTTTTGGTACTTTGGAGTCTACTGACAAAGTTTGCGGACAAAGTTTGCAACCTGTAGATTTGAGACTTGGAGTTAAGTCCAACTCGCAATAATGGGAATTTGGAAAAAGCAAAAACATAGAAGAAATTTTACCAGGTAAAAGAAGTGCAACAATAACAGTCACAGGCAGGCCTTACATATTTAGTTTTTAGGCCTGTTACTGTGAAAGTCACATAATCAAATGCAGTCATCTTGACTTGACACGGTGCATTTCAGCCATGTTTTTCAGTGTATATTCTGCTGTGGCTGAGCGCCTCCAGTGTAGACACTAATGTGCGACTGCAGCTGCTTTCACCACACACCCTGTTTAGATAAGGTGTTATTCTGTGTTAGACTTTAGATCTGACTTGGACTTGATCTCAAATTATTTTACACTTGACCTGCATTTGCTCCCAGAGGTTTAGAAAAAGCTTTTAAAAAGGTGAAAAAAGTTTTAGCCACAAGGCTACTTAACCAGCAAGCATTATCATAAACATGCAAACACTAGGAACTAAAAGCTCTTTTCACAGCAGAAACTGACTTGCCATACCAGGAAAAGCACAGGTGTTACTAATAACATTACTGATGGCTCTTTTCTGTGCTTTTCCTACTGTGACATGTCTAAAAGGCCTCTTAACACAAGCTTTCCCTTGAAGACCGTGATACTTAGCTGATTAAATGTTGGTGGCAATGGTTAGCAATTATCTGTCTGCTTAATTCTCTGAAGACAGAACTAAGATGTTATGTTTAGAAATCCAATAGGCTCATTACAGCCCTGTCTGTGTGTTAATCCTAAGTAAACATCTAAAAGCTCATGCATACAAAATGCATATAGGGTCATCATTTGCAGGTTTGATCCTCACGTTAGCCCAGTTGTTAGTCCCCTGAGCAGGAATATGAATCTCAACCTTCTCACAAATATCTACTTGTCTTACATACATATGAAACCTATTTTGTAATTAAACTAGCAATTTCCTTCACGACTGTCACAATTCTAAAATTCTCCTTTTATTATTTGTGACAGTTGAGACAGTTTGGATAGCTCAGAAAAGTTTCCCAAGTTTCAAAAGAACGCCTCTCAGCAAGCATCTCTTAAAGCTTATATGAGAAATAAACCATCTGTAAATCTACATTATCCATAAATGTCTGTGAGATATAATCGCTATAAGCTGCAAGTACAAACACTGTAACTCACCTAATTCACGCAGCCCTGTTAATCCTAACCACATTTGTATTTTTGTTTTATGTAGATCAGTTATGGACAGATAAAAACTGTGAGGTGAAATATTCACTGAGATGTGGGTAGCTGCATTACATTATGTAAAAAACAGGCAAGAATACAAGGCAAGTGCAGGGACCTGCTGAAATTTAGAAAAATGCCAGCGGTCAGGTCGCTCTAGAGCTGTATCTGGCCAGCGAACCTCCACCTCTCCATCATGTGTGTAAGCAAAGCGGTGTTGCACAATACCCCTGGTTGTAGACCTCTCTGGTTTGTTTTGTGCACCTCTCCTGCCCTCTATTGTAATTTGACCTTTCCTGTGACTCTTCTGCACATTTAGAGGATCTAGCGTGGGTTGGACTCCAAAGCCAGGCTAGCAGCTAATTTAGCTGACAAGCACAGGGAGATGGCTCGATAATAGAATCAAGTAAAGCAGGCGTTTTCAAACTCATTAAAACACTACAGGAGGAGAGCAGAGAGTGAACTCGGTCTGAACCTTTCCATGAAGAATGGCTGCCGTCCTGGGGGGGACATCGGTGCCAGCTAGTTTTCTAAAGAGTTATTTATACTTCTAAAGACCATGGCAACAGACACCGGCTGTATCATCCAGTCACTGGGCTCTGGCTGTGTGTCCCCTCTAACCACCGTCACAATATCTGCTCTTCAGAGAGGCT